GCTTTTCTCTGTGATTTCTGCTGCATCTTGTTCTTGATTTCTGTCTCGATCTTGGATTTTTCAACTGTAAGGGCATCACGTACTCTTTTTCTATTGGCCTTTTCCAGAAGCACCTTCACCTCTTCTAGATCTTTCTGTAGCTGTGTTAAAATAGAAGGTAAGTTAGCTATGACAAATATAATAATAGCTGGATATTGTGCCTACTAGTAATTTCAGCTTACTGAAAAGCCAAGAATTGAAAGATTCATTGAAATTTTCTAGGGTTGGGCTGCAACCTGAGATTCTTTTCTCCAGCCTATTGAGCTGTAAATAACTAAAGCTTCCAAAAACTTAAAGTAACAATAATGAATCAAGCCTATATTTTCTAGTTTGGTAGCTGTTATCTGCCTTTGTTTTGGAACATTTTATTTACAAGATACTGTGATTCATAAAAGTTGAATGAAGCAATCTTATATTTATGGATTTCCTTAAAACATGTTTAGTCATCGTATTAGGAATTTTAAAAATCTTAAAAAAAATAAGCGAATACACAATGAACATGGTGAAATGCTACAGCAACTTTACTGAGTGAGGTAGTCTACTTTCTGTGACTGGTTCTTACCCCAACTACTAGACATTAAAAAATTTCTATTTTTAAGAAATAAAAAAAAATAAGACATTATGATGCTTTTAAGAAAAAGTCTTGGGACGTCTGGGTGGCTCAGTGGGTGAACATCTGCCTTTAGCTCAGGTCGTGGTCCTGGGGTCCTGGGATTGAGTCCCACATCAGGCTCCCCAGAGGGAGCCTGCTTCTCCCTCTGCCCATGTCTCTGCTTTTCTACATCTCTCGTGAATACATAAAATCTTAAAAAAAAAAAAAAAGAAAAAGAAAGAAAAGGTCTTGGTTCTGAATCTCCTTGTTAACGTTGTAGTCAAAAGTCTGGGTCTTAGCTGCCCCATAAAGGAGAAGAACCTAGGCAAAAAATCCAAACTGCGACACACTCCTGGATCACTGAAAAACCACCTGTTCTTTTCTCTGCGTGCCAATACATAGCCTACCAGTGTTTATTTCTACTTTCTAGAAAGAGGGCCAATATTTTATGAAGTTCTATAGTTGAAGACACTATTTGATAATTAATCAGCTTAAAACCTTTTCCCCAGTTATCCACTGACATACTACAAATGCAAAAGATCCTTGCAAACAAGGGTTTCATTTTTCTTAAAGTAACTACATTCTGGCTTAATAGCAATCTGACATTGTACACTTTAGCCTGAGATCATATTTTAAAAATGGAATATAAAAGTCTTTAAATGCAGGGATCCCTGGGTGGCTCAGCAGTTTAGTGCCTGCCTTCGGCCCAGGGCGTGATCCTGGAGTCCCAGGATCGAGTCCGGCGTTGGGCTCCTTGCATGGAGCCTGCTTCTCTCCCTCTGCCTGTGTATCTGCCTCTAATGAATTAAAAAAAAAAAAAAAAACAAAAAAAAAAATAAACAAAACTTTAAATGCTTGATAACTCAGTATAATGTCCAAGTAGAGTTTTTAAGTCTTTGTTATCTAAGTCTTGCAAAATGAAGAGAAAAACAAATGCTTTCTACCCCTTAGTCTTTTATCATCTCATTTAACTCTGATGCTCTCACTTCACTTATCGTTAACTACTAGGATGGTAAATAAAAAGTCCAACTGTGGCAGTCTCCTGTCCTTATTTATCTACTCGCCTCCCCCCAAAAACTCATATTATGGAGACAAAACAATACTGCAATTTCATCTTTTTAAGCACAGATCCAAGATGCTTTTGTTCGAAGCAGTATTTCATTATGGTGATCTTTTAAAAAATTCACATGGATTCTAATACCAATATGATAAAAATTTTGAAATGTAAAATCAGTGTATTTGTTCCCAAGTAAGGATTCAGGTAATAACAACAACAAAATAGAAAATATATCAAGTCTAAACAAGATGTTTTATTTTTTTGACTGGATAGATACCCTTTTTTCTAGCAGACTTAACTCTGAGAATTAGGGATTCTCAGGCCCTCTTTACAGCCAGTTTTGACTCACATACTATAAAAAAAAGGGAGCCACTCTAATTCTGAGGCGACTTTCCAACAGACCTATTTTTAATTCCTCAGTTCTGTTATTTGCAGACCTGAAACCAGTAACATTGATCCCTTTGGTACTTTTTCTGCACACATACTTATGACATAGATACAGCAGTTTCTCATCTAATTTACCTCAGCATTCGTGTTCCTTATGCAAAATCACACATTCCTTTTACCCCCACCCATAAACATATTCAAGCTTTATCTTATCTATTTCCGAATTCTTCAACAAGAAGCATTAAAACCAAAGGGTCTCAAAATAAGCAAAGGACTTTTGAATACAGCCATCACATCAAGCACATGAAAAAAGATGCTCAACATCTTTAATCATTTAGGAAATGCACATCAAAATCACAATAGGATGCCACTTCCCACCCCCAGGGTGGCCAATATCAACAAAAATCCCCCTCCCCCCAATAAGTCTTACAAGGGTAGGTGGAAACTGGTGCCTTCATACAGTTTGTGGTAATGTGGTACAGCCACTTTGAAAAAAAGAATTCACGAGCTCCTGCAATTCCACTCTTAGGTACACACCTCACAGAATGGGAAACACGTCCACATAAAAAGTTGTACACAATATTCACAGCAGCACAGTTCACAATGGCCAAAAATCATCCAAATGTCCATCAACCGATAAAAGAGAAACAAAATGTGGCATATCCATATAATGGAATATTATTCAGCCAGAAAAAGGAACGCCCGCCACACCACGGAGGAGCTAGAGATTGTTAAGTGAAAAAAGCCAAAAAGCAAAAAAGGCCACATACCGGAAGATTCCATTTATATGAAATGTCCACAATAGGCAAATCCACAGAGACAAAGCAATTAGTGGTTGTGGAGGGGCAATCGGAAGGGATGGCCTAATACACTTAATAGGTTTCTCTTGATGATGACGTGAAAGTTGTGGAATTATAAAGAAGTGACAGCTGTGCAACACTGAATGTACTAAACAGCAATGGACAACACACTTTAAAATGATTGAACAGTGAATTTTATACCAAACAAAAACAAGCCCAGAAGCCTGAGTGTATTTTTAACTACCTCAACTGAGGAAAAATCCCTGATTTTGAAGAGGGCTAATACGGAGCTAGCCATAAAGTGTGTCCGTAAAGCCACTGCAGAGGTGATTTCCCAGGGCACTCGGGCAGCCAAGGCCTATCTGTAACACAACACAGACCCGGGGCAAGGTATCCACTGTAATACATACCCATGCACACACGCATTTTCTTCATCTACAGCAGATTCTAAGGACTTCCAAGTCAAGTATTAATGAGATTTCTCAAACTTGCTCATATTGAGGGAAAGATTTCCAGAGAACAAATCTAGTTAACACTCAGCAGTATCATGTATGGAGAACCACCTTGGGCCAGGAAAAGGGCCATGCAAGTACGGTTTATTCCCATTTTGAAAGTGCGCGAACTAAGTCTTCAAAAAAAGTCGAGCTGTTCCTGTTCAGACTTCACAGAGCTTACCAGAGAAAATGGCTATTTCCCACCGCTAGTAACACTTAACCGTCCAATTTACTTAGTTTTAAAGCCCACACAGCACGCTACAGTTTGCCAAGCAGTGTTCCCAACATTTAAGAGGAGTACCTGGCCTTTCTAACTCTGAAATGGATACTGCTGCGGGGCCGAGAAGCGCACAGCTCGCCCCGATGCACACAGCCACCAAAATGCGTCGAGGAAGCGGGACTGGACGCCACGCGCCGGGAGCCTCACACGGCGGAGGGCACCTCGGTTTCGGCAGCCAGCGTTCACGTAAAGCAGCCTCGCGTCCTCGGGCTCGGCCGGCGGGAGCGGCGGCGCCTGAGGGGAACGTGAAGGTGACCAGCCCGCCCCGCTCCCCGGGGGCACCACTTGCGGCCGCGCACCCAGCCCGCGGCCAGCGGAGGCCGGAAGCCGGCAGGGGCCGCTGCAGGTGGGCGGCGGGTCGGCTGAGGCAGAGCTCGGGGAGCCGACGACGCAGGAAGGAGCCAGGGAGGCGGCCGCCGGCTCCTCCGCTAGGGACGCGGGGCGGGGGGCGGGGGCGGGCGCGAGCGCCGGCGCTCGAAGCCCCGCACGGCCGCGGGAGGAAGATGAAGCCAGACCCTTACCTCTTCCAAAGCTGAAGCCATGGTCGGGCTGATCAGGCAAGGCCCGAGCCGCAGCCGCGCAGGGGAGAGAACAGGAAACACCGCACGGAACGCGCTCGCCCGGACGCAGGCCCCACCCGCACGGCTCGCAGCGCCCCAAGCCTGCGCGCACACCCGACCCGGCGCGAGACCCGGCCCGCCTCCCGCACGCGGCGCCTCTGGAACCTTCGCGAGTCCGTCGCCGGCGCACCCGCCCCCCTCACTCCGCGCGCGCACCGCCCGCCTCGCCTAGCCCCGCCCCGCCCCGCCCCGCCGACCCTGGTCCCGCCCCTCCCGCCGAGCCTCCTAGCAACGCTCAACTCTCGCGAGCAAACCAGCAGCTCGAGAACGGTAACGCCTCTTCCTCCCCGCCCGGGAAACTGTACGTGTTCTACTTTGACCTCGCGTGTCCCCGCTGCGCAGTCGCAGCTCAGAACCGCTGTCATGACGCACCTTAACCCAACCCCGGAAATAACGTACTGGTCTTTGGGGTCCAAACCGGAAGTTGAGTAGAGTCGGCTGGTTTCGTCCCCTGGAGGGCTGCCATCTTGTCTAAACCTAATTTATGAGCGTTTGCGAGAAAAGGACCCCAAGGGGGAGAAGGGGCAGCCTTTTTATGTTAAAACGGAAAAGACTGACGGTTAGTGTCCTGAAGGAAACAGTTCGGTATTCCGTGGGTTCCGACGCCCTCGAGAGGTCACCACGGTTTAGCGTCTACGATGTGTTGGCGTCATCACGGAGCGCCATGGGAGGGGGTGGGGGTTGCGCTGGCCACGTGACAGGGCCCAGTGGAGCCGCCTGGGGTTGCGGCGGCTGGTCCCGGCTCTCGCGGTGCCCGGCCGCAGTGGGGCGCCGCCTTTCCCCGTTGACTGGATTGCTGCTCTGGTACCTTCGTCCCCTTGAGCGAACATTCTGTGACTCAGGCTTGAATTGGATTTAACTGAGCCTGTTAACCAGAGAAAACGTAGGCTGAGTTTTCCTGGGATTACATCATCTTCCTCCTCTTTTCAGATCATTCTAGCCTTTGGCCGCCGCAAAACGTCGGCAACACGATTGTGAACACATAGTGACCTCTGGAAATGGTTTTCCACCAGTCCGCCCTCACTCCGCTGTACACATGGCCCAAGGTAGCGACTAGAGTCAGCGAGGCTGAGGAGGGTGAAAGCTGCCAGAAGGGTGCGGGCTGACCACTGCGCAGTGGAGGACTGGAGGGCGCCTGGGAAGTGGACCAATTAGGGCTGCTTAGTAAGCTTGCGACTCGGACCTGACGTTGGGGGAAGGAGCCGGAAGCGCTCCGGTCGTTTGGTTTTATTTAAATGAAGGCTAAAGCCAGCAAAAGTCATTAGGGTGCTTAAAATCAGGCTGGTCTTCCCTTGGATGGGGAGGACGATGGCCGCCATCAGGAGGCTTTGAGGTTCAGATAAGGTCCTGTTTCTTGATTTGGATGTTGGTTACAGGTGTGTTCACTTTGTAGCAATTTCATGCAACTGTAAACTTGAGTGCAATTTTTTTGTATGGAATACCCAGCTAGAAGTCATATTTAAGTACGTCCAGGAGGCCGTTTTCCTGAGAAGGTGAAATGTTAGGCTGATACATCACCGTTGTCAAAATTGATGGAATGAACTCCGAAGATACGTGCGTTTTGCTTTATAATAACTTCCTGTTTTAAAAAAAGTGTCCAGCTAAAAGCCTGGGTTTATTTGCACTTAAATAGGAACAAATAAGCCATTGCACTGCGTGAAAGCTTGACGTAAGGCAGTGGTTTTCTTTTCTTTTCTTTTCTTTTCTTTTCTTTTTTTTTTTTTTTTTTTTTTTTTTTTTTTTTTTTTTTTTTTTTTTTTTTTAGGCAGTGGTTTTCTAAAGCTTGACGATGGACGTGGGGCAACTCCCTCTACCACCAGGTAGTCTAAAGTTAGGTGATTTATTTTATTTTATTACTCGTCTTTTTTTTTTTTTAATTCAAGTTCATTAACATTTAGCATAGTACTAGTTTCAGGAGTAAAATTTAGTGATTCATCAGTTACGTATAACACCCAGGGCCCATCTCAACAAGTGCCCTCGTAATGCCCGTCAGCCATCTTACCTCCTCCAGTAACCCTTGGTTTATTCTCTATAGTTAAGAGTCTCTTATGGTTTGCTTTCCTCTCTCTCTCTCTCTCTCTCTCTCTCTCTCTCTTTTTAAGATTTTATTTATTCATGAGAGAAAGAGGCAGAGGGAGAAGCAGGCTCCACGCAGGGAGTGCAACGTGGGACTCGATCTCGGGTCTCCAGGATCAGACCCTGGGCTGAGGGCGGCGCTAAACCGCTGAGCCAGCCGGGCTGCCCTCCCTCTGTTATTTTATTTTATTTTTCTCTCCCTTCCCCTGTGTTCATGTTGTTTCTTAAATTCCACATATGAGTGAAATCGTTATGGTGTTTGTCTTTCTCTGACTTATGTCGCTTAGTGTAATATACTCTAATTCCATCCACATTGTTGCAAATGGCAAGATTTCATTCTTTTGATGACTGAATAATAAATATATATACACACACACATCTTTATCCATTCATCTGTCAACAGACATCTGGGTTCTTTCCACAATTTGGCTATTGTGGACATTGTTGCTATAGACTTTGGGGTGCAGGTGTCCCTTCAAATCAGCATTTTTGTATCTTTTGGGTAAATATCTAGTAGTGCAATTGCTGGGTAGTAGGGTAGTTTGATTTTTAAGTAAAGTTAGAAGATTTTAAATACCATCTGTTATCCAGTGAGTCCTAAATCAGTGTCTTCAGCAACACCTCTCCTCGAGCTCCACATTCTGTCTCTGCTTGGATGTCTGAGAAGTACATCAAATTTAGCTTATCTTAACAACAACAATAACAATCTCCTCCCAATCATCTTCGCACCCCAAATCAGTTTCTACAGTTATTCTACAGCTCTGTGAATGGTTACCTCCTGCTCCTATTTGCTCAGGCCAGTGAGTCATGCTTAAGTCTTCAATCTCAGGTTCTGCTTCCTATCCTACAGCAAGACTTATTGGCCTTATCCACAGAATACATGGATAATCATAATCAGTTTTCACAACCTCCATTTCTACTACTGAACACCAAGCCATAATTATTTTATCTGGATTTTTAGGCTCAAAACTGATGACTGTGCCTTTACAGTTAGTTTTCCAAAAAGCAGCCAGAGTAATCTTTTCAAATCATATTCCTTTGATTAACAACCGCTCAATAGTTTGCTGTTAGGCTTAGAATAAGTGCAAACTTTATTTATTTATTTATTTATTTATTTATTTATTTATTTATTTATTTATTTATTTATTTATTTATTTATTTTATTTATTTTGCAAACTTAACATGACCTAGCATATACTGCATGATCTTATCTCACCTTTGTATTATGTCTCATCTCACAGCTCCCCCGTCTCCCTGGTTTAAGCATGCATGTTGTTCTTGAATCCACGGAGTTTGCACTCACCTCAAAGTCTACTCTGTATTTTTCTCTCTAGGATGCTTTTTCTCCATTCCCTCACATAGATCATAACTTTGCTTTTGCTTTTTTTTTTTTTTTTGTAAAGTGCTTTTTAATTTTTAACCAAAAGGATCATTAAGTTGATATAAGGTTTTTGGGTTTTTTTTTACCAAAATATTCATCATAATGTCAGTCAATATGCTTAAGCAACATGATTATTTAATGAAGGTTGAGGGCACTTGTAATTTGTGTGAATTTAACAATTAGAATTTAAAATTCTTTAAACTCTTATAAAATTATAAATTGATAATATTTCTCCAAATTGAAGTCAGGTAACTTAATCTTAAAACAATTTGAAATTTAAGTACAATTGTTAACGCAACAATGAATAAAGACAAGTTTGCAAGACAGATATAAAGATGAAAATTCAAAAATAAACAGAAGAAATGTAAACAGTTATAAAATAGCAATTTATAAACATTGCTTAGAGCAAGGCTATTCAAAGTATGGTCCATGAGCTATTAGCAACCCATCCCAAACGAAAGAAAGAACTTGTGCCAGAATGAAAATCAATTATATCATTAATCAGCTGACTTTTTTTTTTTTATAACAAGACTTTCTTTAAAGGAAGAAATGTACTGATATATACTCTGGCACAGGTGCCTTATCTCCTTACCGGCTGCAGAACACATACTGCTTATGTCCTTAAAGTGCCACTATAACTTTACCACTGAGTTAACTTGACCCTGGAGAAAAAAATTAAAATAACAATTGTAACTGTCTTCTATACTTTATTTTTTTAACCCTATTTATCCAAAAAGCAAAGTTACTTCCTGGGATGGAGACACCATCGAGGATAGGATGGGCCAGGGACGTGAGGATGAGGTAGCCGGATCCCTAGCTAGGGTGGGTGACACCAGGAACATACCCTGACACCTCCTTGCTTTTCTTCCTCTTGCCTACAGCCTCCACTTTTCTTTCTCTTTGCCCATCACCTCTTGGATCCAGCCAGGGATTCCCTCCTGGGCCTATGAGAGGTGAACTAGGTTAGAAGCAGACACCAGGGGATCCCTGGGTGGCTCAGTGGTTTAGTGCCTGCGTTCAACCCAGGGTGTGATCCTGGAGTCTTCTGATTGAATCCCATATCAGGCTCCCTGCATGGAGCCTGCTTCTCCCTCTGCCTGTATCTCTGCCTCTCTCTCTCTGTGTCTCTCATGAATAAATAAAATCTTAAAAAAACAAAAAAACAAAAAACGTAGGGCTGCTCTTCCTGGCTGTATTAGTTAGGTTTCAATCAGAGAAGCAGAATCAGTAGCAGATACTTATTCCAAGGAGCTAATTTACACAATTGTGGGAACTGGCTAAGCAAGTCTAAAATATGTAGGCCAGACAAGCAAGAATGGATTATAGGCAGGCTGGGCCCCATGAGAACAGGTTGAAACTTTCATCCACAGAAGTCAGAGAGGGAAGAACTCCAGTCTTCTCTCAAGGAAATCTCAGCCCTGCATTAAAGCCTTCCACCAGATTCAATTAGGCCCACCCAGATTATCCCAGATAATCTCCCTTACTCAAAGCTAACTGATTAAGAGCTTTAATTACTACGTGCAGAAGATTTACATAGCAACACTAAGTATTTGGCTGAATCACTGGAGAGTGTAGGCTAGCCAAGTTCACATATTAAAAACCACCCTTACCAATCTCCTCCCCATCACTCACCATTTCTCTCAACCCTCTTACCCTGTTTTTATCTTCACAGTACTTATTACTACCTGCAATTTATTAGTCTTCCATACTACAACAGTCATTCTCCATTGGAGAGCAGTTGTGGACATTTTGTGTACTCCTTCCCCCTCAGACATTTGGCAATGTCTGGAGAAATTCTTGGTTGTCACAACTGGGAAAATACTACTAATATGTAGTGGAGAGAGACCAGGGATGTGACTAAGTATCCTATTATATGCAGGACAGCCCCTGCAAGAAAGAACCCTTTGGCCCAATATGTCAGTAGTTTTCTCTGAGGTCGAGAAAAATTCTGTGCTAGAGTTTAAGCTTTCCAGAGGCAGGATCTGTTTGTTCACCTCATTTCTAGCACTTTGAACAGAGATGGGTATAGTAGGCAGTCAGTAAATTTGCTTGAATTAATTTAATAGACCTGGTGGTCTGCATTTTATTTTTGTTATTTAAATAATTCCTATTTGGTGAGCCTGTGCTAAAGCCTGAAATTCTTGCAAATTTACCATGCAGGTAGACTTTTAAAAGATTTTGTTCTGTCTCCAGTAGTCAGTAATCAAAAGTTTTGTTACAATAGAATTTCAAAAAGGTGAAATCTAGAATCCCATGCAAACATAAAAGGAACATGTGACAAATATTCAGTGCAGTTAATGAGGGAACCAGTCATATGTTAAAACTGTTATCAAAGCGCCTTTGCATAATGGATCCTTAGAGGCAATTTATTTTTATTTTTTTAAAGAATTTATTAAAAATAAAAAATAAATAATTTATTTGAGAGAGTAGTGGGTGGGGCGAGGCATAGAGGGAGAGAATCTGAAGCAGACTCCACACTCAGCACGGAGCCTGATACGGGGTTTGATCCCTGAGATCAATGACCTGAGATCATGACCTGAGCCAAAACCAAGAGTCAGATGCCCATCCAGCTGAACCACCCAGGCACCTCAAGTTCAATTAATAATAGAATGTTAGTGTAAGGTTGCAGAGTTAGATACAAACTGGCTAATGTCTTGCCAAGGTAATAAGCCATATATAACCTTTGGAGTTATCCATTCCACTGAAAAGTTAAATCTACAATTTAACATGTAACTTCACTGTATTGGACCTTTAATCAGTAGTGAACAGTGAATTTCATTTACTGTTCTTGTCGAGAACACCCATGACTTTTTTTTTTTTTAAGACTATTTCAGAGAGAGAGAATGAGCATGAGCCAGGGGGTGGGACAGAGGGAGAGGGAGAAACAGACTCCCTGCTCAGCAGAGAGTAGGACTACATGGGACTGGATTCCAGGACTCTGCGATCAGGACCTGGGCCTAAGGCAGGCACCTCGCCAATTGAGCCACCCACGCGCTCAAGAACACTCATGACTTCTAACTACCAAATTCAGTAGATATTTTTTGAATATTTTTGCTGTTTTACTTTTTATGTAAAATTTCTCATTTTTTAAAATACCACATGGGCCGGAGTATGTGACTCTTGATCTTGAGATAGTGAGTTTGAGCCCCATGTTGGTGTAGAGATTACTAAAAAAAAATTAAACAGAATACCACATGGGCCAAACAACAGAGGTCTGTGGTCTGGGTTTGGACCACAAACTGTAGTCCTACAATCTCTGGTTAATGTTCTTAATACATGTGGAATTCTAAGAGAGCTGACTAATCTCTTGGATTTCACTTAGGTTCCATGAACTCCCAGAACAAAATGCAAATTGGGATTCTCTGCACTTTGCCTCCACTTCGGAGAACCACTTCGGATAACTGCTCTGGAGTTCGGTTTGAATTATAATATCACCCACTGTGCTGTGTGTTGAAAGGCTTGCAGCAGTGACCTCATTCAGGATTAGCCAATTTGGTTTTTGCGAGACTTTGGAACTGGACCAAGGGTACAAGGGTACGTTAGTCCATCTCTGCTGGTGACTTGAAGAGAAAACGTGAACTTGATGGTTGTCCACTTGGAAGCAAGAAAACTTATTTTCAGAGGGAGAAGCAGCAGCAGGTAAGCATGACCTGGCAAGATGGCAGAGGCCTGATTAGGAAAACAGCTGCTGAAGTTCCTGATGGCATTCCTGTCCTTGTCCAACCCCTCTTCAGGCCCAAATATTTGGCCTTTAGGAGATGAATACACCTGTTCCTTTTAGTTAATTGCCTTATTCTTACTAAACTAGCTGTGAGTGTCTGGGTACTAGCAACAGGGTAGTCTCCGTAGAGAGAACAGGGCTGTAGGCACTGGCGGTGCTGCGGCACAGTATCATTCTGCAGGGGATAGCCTGGAGCCAACTCCCAGCAGTTTCTCCAGTCAATGTAGTCTAGTGTCAGTTAAGAAGTATTACATAAACATTGGGCTCAGATGATTTAGAATAAAGTCAAATAGAAACAAATCAAAAAGACTATTGGGACTTCAGAACGAATGTGTATTACTGCTTAATGGGGCCAAAGGGGCAACAGAAATCATTGAAAACATCACTGACTCACAAAAACAGTCACCTTGTTACCTTCTTGCTTGAATTTGTTTATTTCACAAGGCTTCATTCACACAGGAAAACAAGATACTAATCCAAGTTCATAACTGTTATAAAAGTAAACATTTGTTGGGACAATGTACAATAAATTGCACTTTTCTTAACAAGCATTACATTTACACCAATAGCATGTACTATACATAATACATGGAATTATGGAAACATCTAATTGGTCAGTGTTTACAGAGGCTGCTCCCTCAGGTTTCTCTCTTCAGTTAGCACTATTTGAGCCAATCAATTCCTTTATTCTAGAACCTGTTTTCGTTAGGTCATGGACAAAATCATAGAATTCATAAAAATAAACAGTACAGACTTCCTACTACCTCCCAAGCAAGGGAAAGGTAGGAAGTGATGCTGATTAAGACATTTTCCTTCATTTGAACTGAAGATCCATACATTATGCAAAATACCAAAAATGGGAGAAATTGATACAAAATGCTATTGGGTCATCTTGGATTCTGGGACCATCTCCAGCTTTATTCTTGTGCTTTCATGACACCAGAGTCTTGATGCATTTATATACTTAAGTTTCCTATATTTTATTCCATATATAATATATAGTTATTTAAAGTTACATTTTAATGGAAAAGATTTTATGTGTTAACTTATTGCCAGTGAAAAAGGAAAGTAACTTAAAATGTTTATTTTCTACTCAATGAATCTTTTTTTTAAAGTTTTCAGAATACTACTAATGATAAACCAAGGATTGAGGTGGGGAGAATGAGACATGTTGATGAAGATGTTTTTGTAACAGGTAACAAATTCATTTGGGGATATGCTTGACATGTAGCCTTTTAGATGGAAGCCAGGAAGGTAACATCTGACAGCTGACTGTAGTCACTAAGCCACTTGTAAACATCCACTTTTCTCATTACAAACTCATGAACATCCTCTCAAATTAGAAGGATTCATTTTGAAAACTTTGGAGAGATAAGGAAATTCCTAAGATAAAGGGCTTTACGTGTGTTACATGGAAGCCACTGTAAGAGAGGAAGGATGTTCTAGAGCAATTCGAGTTCAGTGTGACATCAGCATGGCAACCAGAGGGAAAGACAGTTTTATATCTGGTTGTAGGACACACAGGCCACTGAACTCGTTTGGCCTTCTGTAGGTGATTGCCATGTGTGTATTTAGTCGCGTGGTACCTGGCTGTACAAAAGAGGCAATGATCCTCTATGTAAAATTCTATCAGTCACGCACACGTACAAATCGAAGTGTTCACATCAAACAACAGCGTTTGTCCATTCTCTCATCTATTTGTAATTGAAGCAAGAAAATCAGAGCTATTTAAGAGTGGCTCTTTTTTAAAGAGTAAGTTATACAACTGAATCCTCTTGCTAAGTAATTAAAAGTGTTCTTTCCCAGAGAGAGAAAACAAATAAGGTATTTAATTTTTTTAAAGCTCCTTTTCCCTTCAAAGGTTCCTGAAATCAGACAACCGCCTTAGAATAGTTAGCGGGCTGATTGCAGCTAAAGAAAACTCAATCCCTTATGTTAGTTATACGTGCGGGCTTCCTCCTCAGTAACTGATCAGCTCCTTTAAGGATCTCTCATCTCATGCCCTGAACTGTGCATTCTCTTGTTTTTCTCACTTTAACTGGGAAATAAAGCCACTAGTTATTAATTGGAAAATATTTTTAAAAAATGGAGTAGGGGGTTGAGAAAAATCTTAAAACACAGTATAAAAGAATGAAATTTTGAAAAAAAAAGAAACAAGTCTTCATTATCCCAACATCAGTACAAAGATTGCTTTTGTACTTTGGAAATTTAAGAAAAGCCAATGAAGAAATTATGAATTTAATAGCTGGAAAGGTAAAGAGAAAGAGAGAGAGAGTGGTTGTATGGAAAGAGAGGCCAGAGGCCTATATGACATTCCTATTAGTGTTTCTATTAGGCACTCATACACAGAGCATTAGGGAACTGAGAATTTCTTTGCATTAAATTATATGTAACTAAATATAATCAAATTGCACCATGGCTCAGGATGTGAAGCTAGCAAACATATGCACTGCAAAATTCAGCTGGGTTTTTTCAGCTTTAAAGAAAGTGTTAAACAAGAATCTCAAGATATAAAAGCTAATGAACTAAATTACCAAAATGAAATGCATTCCCTTAACTTATTCAGCAGAATTTAATGAGAAGAGAAATCATCACTCTTTAGAATGCTACAAGTCTTGGATTTTTGGAGGAATGTTTTATACAGCATATCCTAGGAAAAGATGAAGAACACTCTAGAATACTTGGAAATTTCCTAGCTATCTGGGCTGGTTGATGTTTTTCTAAAAGAAATTCAAGAGAAGAGTACCAATTTTCAAATATATTTCAAAATAAGTGAAATTAAAGGTAACAATTACTTAATACTATGATGCATGAGTTTTCAAAAAATACATGGGGAAGGATATGTGGTTTGGGGCAGTGCTAACATAATGAATAATCATATCATATACCAAATTTTGAATTTTCTTTCTAATATTGCAACTGACCCAAAGACCCTGCAGTGAGGAACAGTTTAGACTTATGGTACCAATACACATACCTAATAAGTATGATATGGAACTGAAGAAGAAGAAAAAAATCTATAGGTTGCCATTAAAATCGTTTGAAAGAGTTAAGAGAAAATGCAAAAGACAGATTACACATTTGGAATGTATGTACCTGGTGATTTTATTTAAAGAAAAAAAAATATAAGGGGCTCTGGAACTGAGCCAGGTGTATAGGTGAGGACTGAACCTACAGCCATACTATTTCTCCCTCAACTACCATGTAAGGAAAATTATGCACTTTAGGCATTCTGTGGAATGTGCTGATTTTTGGAAGTTAAAAAGAGCTATGTACAGTAAAACTATAAGATTCACAAAACAGAAAACGACATCTTTAATTTAGCTGGCCATTTGATAAGGCAACTTGTACAAGGCTTCTTGGAATCAAAGCATAAAGTACCAGCAAAGCTAAAAAATTATACTAAATGATTTACAGAAACAAGTACCAAGATGCAATTTTCCAGCCATTATATTAAAAAAAAAAAAAAAAAAGAACCAAAACCTTTTCTAAATCACCAAATAGGGACTATCAAAGTCAACATAGACACTCAGAATGCTGGATTTTTTTTTTTTCTTTTTTGGTACAAGGAAATGAATATTATAATGGGAAATGGGAGGACAAAACAAAGAATTCTGTAAGAAAAGTATTATATGATGAGTGTAACAAAGGCTACCATCCATATTAGTTTTATGGGTTGTAAAGGATATAATAACTCAATGATAGGGACTTAACTTTTTAGAGTTTAATGATCATTTTGGAGGAAAGGATCTACCATGAGCAACTCGACACATGCTCCTGGAGTTGAGATAGTTCTTATTTAATTTTTACTTCCAAGAACGTATTGCTTTTAATTGCAACATATGGCACAGATGAAAATCACTCTGGCGCTACAGAGTTTAAGATTCGTTGCAAGAGTATGTTCAACAATGAAGCCAAGGATGAGTATCAATAAGTGTTATTGTACATAGCCGACAGTAGTTTGGTTGGCGTAAAAGGGCCAAAGCCTCCGAACGAGCTTAGAAAATGGGAAAATTAGTTTTGCTGTTACCAAAGGATTTCCAGCAAGGACTATTTAAATAGACCTGTTAAATATAATTGAAAAAAACTATTTCCACCAACTTTTAAACAATAGCTTTACCTTTCCACGAGATATGCATTTCTATAAAGATTTTATATTCAATCAAAAATGTTACCAATACATTTGCATCTCTTTATCTGGGGTGCTAAGGACACATTTTTTAGGGAGATACAGACATCAGTAAAAGTTATCTAACAGTAAACTAAGATGATGTGAAGCTGACCTTTATTCCCCATTCCAGAACTTTGAAAAGGTATAGTATATTAGTGTTTCCTTAGCAAATCTATGTCAACATTAAATGAAATACTCTGTCCCTGGTTCTCTATTTCATATGAAGCACGGTGGCCAAACTGGGCCTTTCTAGGCTTCTCTGGAAAAGGTTCCCTAATGCTACAGCTCGCAATAGCACTTCTGACTTAGCGCTTGCTGGAAGTCGTAACTGTGTTCATACTTAGGAATCTGCAATTCCTGTGTAGAGTTTCTCAAAAAGACCTGTTAGGATACTAGGGCCAAATGATTTCTCTTATCCTGCACTTATCAAAATCTCAGTTCCTTTCATCTAGTGTGTTTTCTCAATAGTCTATCTTATTCCATGGTTCTTGGCACTTCATTTCCAGATATACCCAACAGAAAATGAAAAGAAATTAATTCTTTTTGGGGACTGTTCAATCCCCGGTTTATTCTTTGGACAGGATAATCGTTTTCCCGGGAATCACTTTCAGAGAGAAACCTCACAGTTGTCATGAACGGCCCCACAGTGTGCTTTAATCTGAATAAATCCTGAAACGTTAAGACATTTAGATTTCAATCTCTTTTTCTTTCTTTTCTTTTTCTGTGACAAATATCATCTTGTCACTTTAACCTTGGAATAAAAGACATCTCCATTTTTATGTAAGATGAAAGTAATTATGAATAATTAGTTCTAAATAAAAATCATTTAGTTCTGAATTACTTATTTCCAACTAAACATCAGGCATATAAAATAGTGTGTAATACTATGATGGAACTGAACATGGCCTTCCATGAAGAGGTTCGAAAGCAGGTATTCAATATAACTCAGGTCAGTTTAAATAACATCCCTTTGCAAAGTGTCAAACAAGAAAGAGTGAGGGCTACTGAGAGATCCTGGCTTGCTTTCTGGCCTCCTTTACTTTCCAGTAAAGGGATACTGGGAGACTCCTCCTAGGTGTCTGTCACTTTGATCGTTGTGCTCTTGTGCTTGGGTGAGGCTGGAACTATGTGCTCTCCTTGGGTGGCTGGGTGGCCGGCGGTGGCTGCAGTGGCTGGGTGCCTGTGGCCGTTTTGATAGAGTTCAGGGTTTTGCTAAACCAAGAGTTTTTTGCAGCTTGGATTTCATTCATAAGGGCTCCTCTCTGGTGTTCAAGTTCCTAATTAAAAAAAGAAAATCATCTGAGTTATATAAATGTTTTCTCTCTGCCAAAAATAATCAGAGTATAGCTTTTTGGAATCCCCAGGTGTGTATGCAGAGCCCTAGCTTTCCGCCCACAAAACCCAGGGGGGTGGGGAAATTTACTTGGCTTCTTAATACAAGAAAATGGTATAGAGCTAAAAGAGTTACCCCTGAAAGTCAGAATCTGGCTCTCTCTGAACAGTGAAATGAAACCTCATTGTATCTTTTCTTCCCTCTGCATTTTTGGTCCAAATTTAGATTCAGATTGCAACATGTTTAAAACACAAATAGACATATGGATGGATGGAACTTTTACTGATGACGTAAGCATGAATGAGTTCTAGTGAGAACATACCAGGGCCAGCCCAGAAACAGTTAAGGACCGCTAGTGCGGCCCACATCATTGCCAGGGCAGGTGATGGTGGTGCATAAGGACTTTGGGAAAAAGAAAATGGGGAACGGTCCATTGGAAGCCAGGACTATTTTTCTAATTAGGTTATCTTCCAATATGGACAGAGATTTTGGGGAAAGGGATTTGGTAAAGTTAAGTAAAGATGAAGGAGAAAATGCTCCAAAGCCAAGAATGGGTGCCAGCCAATGTTCAACTATTCGGGGAAGGACAATAGGGAAGGTTTGGCCTTTCATTTTCAGGATCAGCCCCACGGTGGCTAACGTTCAATGAGAAAGGACCTTGCCTACAAAAATTTCGGGGTAAAAATTAAAAAGTATATGCTTAAGTTCTCACAGGATATCATTTTAATTATTGCATTTTCATTTAAAGCTATGTGTTTATGTCACTGTTTAAAAATAATGATGTATAAATGTGACTGTGGAGGACATATCATTGGGCAAGAAATGTATTCATCATATGTGGAAACATCTTAGGATGCTGAGCTAGGTGTATTCCAAAGTATGAGAATGTGTCCTAGAGCACCGATTGCTTCTTTTTTCTTGTTGATCTTTTATCAGTCCCCAACCTGGATTTTGCACTTGGCCTCCACCAGCTGCAGTTTGGTTTGTGCCAACTCCAGCTCCATCTCCCTCAGCTGCTTCTTCAGGGAATCCTTCTCATCATCCAGTTCCAGCCCCTGCTCCTCCCTGCTTACGGCTGCGAGCTTCAGAGTGCCCTCTTTGCTGAAAATGTCACTGCAGTGTTTACAAGCCATCATTTTACCCTGAAAGAGCCAAAAGAGATAACCAACATCGAACAATTTCATAGCATATATCACTTCCTGAAACAACTGGGTATGATTTTCATCTAGACACTGCTTGTTGTCATCAAATGCAGGTCCACTTCTGAAGGTAATTATTTTTCTTGAGCTGCAACCAAAGGGCTCAGTCAGCACCAAACCCAACTATGCAAGTTAGGTGCTCCCTTTTTCTTAAAGTATCTCTAGGGAGACCCTGGAAATATTAGACCAGGGATCCCTCGTTTTGAAGGTTCTTAAATGTAACGCTATTGAATCCTGATTTTGTCCTATAGAAAATTCATTTACCATATCGTGTACTGCATGTTGGAGAGGGAACAATGAGCCTCATGAAGCTGCAGTCTGGCAGGTGTGCTGAAGAACAGAGGTGTGGCAGAGGCTGCAGATTCCCACCCAGGATCCATCTCCCCTCTTCCTTACAAACGGAACTCTGAAGTTATTTGGGCTGGCAGTCTGCCATTTCCCAGACTTCCCTGAAGCTTAAGTGTGGCCATGAAATTCAGTTCTGATATGTAAGCAAAGTGTGGTGTGGAGCTTTAAGGAGGCCACTTAGAGCTCCCCTGGTTGGAGGTAGGCCCTTGTACCCTTGCATCTCCTAAGGCCTAAAATTCTATCCTGGAATGTGGCTGTGATGGAGGCAACTCCAGTTGACAGGCTTGACCTTTAGGTCACCTTGAGGATGGGAGCCCCTGCTGAGGATGTGGGTCACCAACAACTGGTGAGTTTGGATTGCTGATGAAACCAAGGATCTAAAAAAAAAAAAAAAAGAAAGAAACCAAGGATTTTTCCAGCCCTGGATTTTTTTTTTTTTTTTACATGAGATAAACATTTTCTGTGTTTAAGCCATTGTTATTATGGGTTTCCTATATGTGGCCAAACTAGTTCTAAACTGATACACAGAATGACAGAGTCAAGTTTACCCTAGGATGCTCATTCTAATTCTAGTATAGAGGAGGAAGACCTGAAAGGGGAACGGTGTTGTGGGAGGATGGAAAAATCAAAAGCTATAGCATTGCATCAAACCAGAGATGAAAAGAAAATAGCACTGGAGAAAGAGGATGTAGTATGGTTATCGCCACTAAGGGAATGGAGAGGAGAGTCTAACTCCCTGGGTTCAAATCCTGTCTTTACTGCTTCCCAGCTATGTGACCTTGAGATCATGAATTACCTGTTTTGGTAATCATCATCAATAAAAACAAGATCTAATAAATCATTAAAAAGAAAGATATAATAGTGTCTACCTTCTCAGGAAGTTGTGAGGGTTAAATGGGATAATCCTTATAACAATATACACGGTAAGTATTTATTCAGATAAAACAAGTTCAAGTTCCTCTTCCTGAATATATGGCCTTTCATTAGACACCCCTACCTCCTTATCCAGTAGTTCCTCTATTCCTTGATATACACTCTTAAGTACATGAGTCTCCTTAATGAGACTCATTCTGATTTCTGGGTCTTCACTCACAGTTTCTTCCAGAATGTCCTTTTTAAATCCTAACAGAATTCTCACCCAACCTCCTCAGTTCAGCCTCCTCCACAAAGTCATCTTTGGTCTGTAGTTCTTACGATTTTGCTTTCTCTACAATCCAGCCTGTCAGTGTAATCCAACTCAGTACTGGCTTACATGCTTTTGAACTATTATACTCTACATATTTCACATGCATATGTAGATCTTACTCCTGTAGGAAAATTCTAAACTTTTGTTATGTATCATTTCTGTAAAACAACAGAAGTCTAATAGCTGTGGCCACAGTTAGATGCTCAACAAAACCTTGAGTTATCCACATAAATCAATTTCATTTCTATTTCCACAAAGATTTTAGTTCAGGATAGTTAACTGAATGTAGGTCAGTGTTTAAAAAAGGATAATAAAGGCATATAAGTCAGAAGAAAGTAAAAGGAAACCAGAGAGGGAAGATACAAACCCAAAACTTTAGCAGGCTTGGGCAGGGAGATGACCAAGATCATAGTCACTAATAATCTTAGACTGTTTTCGAACATGAAATAAGAAAAAAACACTTGGAATATAAAGTCAGAATAAGGTTCATATTTTCAATTCTCCTGTCTCAGATTTTCAGGTCATAAACTTATAAAAATACATATTATTATGTGCCAACTACTAAGCTAAGCACTTTATATACGTAATCTTACTTAATCTTCAAAACCACTCATTGAGGGCAGCTAGGTGGCTCAGCGGTTTAGCGCTGCCTTCAGCCCAGGGCATGATCCTGGAGACCTGGGATCGAGTCCCACATCGGCTCCCTGCATGGAGCCTGCTTTTTCCTCTGCCTGTGTCTCTGCCTCTCTGTTTCTCTCGGTGTCTCTCATGAATAAATAAATAAAATCTTTAAAAAAAAATCACTCATTGAAGCAGGTAATATTGTCTCTATTGTACAGGATACAAAATAAAGATTAGAGGTAAAGAACTTGTCCACAAGTTGTTATATTATATGCCAACGTGCCTAGAATGCACTTCATCACTAGCATTAACCCTGGATATATTCAAAGAGAAATATGTCAGGTTTCTGAACCTCAGGTCACAAGAGTTGGCTGTGCCAACACTGCTTCTCAAGAACACCAATTCATTTGGCTTCCTGTTGTTTCTATGGAATAAAGCAATGGCTTTTCTTACTTAAGCAACAAAAGTTTTACCACCAGGGGGCAGCATATAAATAAATGCTACAGTTTTCTTTAAAATTAACCCTCTAAAAAATGGTGGAGAGCAATGGGATGATGCTCCCAGAATGCTCACCGAGGGTTGCACACTGAAGCCATATTTATGCAGGCACAGTCGGGATGGAGGCTGCACTCCTACCACCTGCCTCAGACAATCCCTAAGATTTATGGGAACACCATCCTTCTGCTGGCAGGGAAGAGGA